GGGTTGGACTAGATGTGATTTCCTGAGGTCCCTTCCAGCCCACAATTTCTATGAGTCCTGCACTGATCCCAGTAACATGCAGCTGAGTTGGATCCTGATTCAACCAGGTACTGAAGCACGGATCTATTCTGATCCATGCCAGGCAAATGAACTACTACCTAAGCGTTCAGGTAGCCCCATGGCTTCACATGCCCAATGACATTTAAGTACTTTCCTGCCTCAGGCCCTAGGACCTATCTTACACCCAGTCTTGATTCAGATCTCTATATCCCTTGGCAATCCGTTCCAGCTGCCATTAACCCTCACTTGAAAACTTGCTCCAACTTGGATTTTTCCTAATCCAGCTTCCAGCTGCTGCATCGTGCTCTGTGCTTGCCTGCAATGTAAAAGGGGATGCTAGCAATATTGAATAAACACGACTGTGACTTATGGACAGCGATCAAAGAATTTCATAACCCCCTTTTTGGTCTAAAGTTCAATCTACTGGGTGGAAGTCTCCAGACCTTGCATCATCCTTCTTGGCTTTTCTGGGAACTCTCCAATTTTTCAGTGCTCTGCCCATTTATTTTCCAGCTCTGGACTCCATTCCCATTTTATGATAATTTCCTCCTGTCTGCACTAGGACTAAGTCAAGATTTAGTGATTGTACAGCATTAGTGAAAAAGCTACAAGCGTTTGCGTGATGCAGGGCACATTAAGGCTAATCACACACCTACTCAATGCTGGCAGGTGCAGAGCCAGCAGCAGTCGGTACAGACCGGCATGGACAGAAAAGAACAGGATTTGTTTTTCCTACACCAAAAACGGGCTGGGCCAACAAAGCAATTCACCTGACGTGTCTGAAAGATGATAGCTGCTGCTGGTGCTAACTAATAAGTGATACAAATACTGTGAAACGGGCAGGAACACACAACTCCACCACGGAGGGGCAGAAATGGACTTGTCTATGGGAACGCATTTATCATGCTGTCATTCTCCACCGCCATCTCACCCTGGCTCCAGCAAGTGCCGTAGGCCAGCAGCATCCCTCGGCTGCAATGTATTTGGTTTTGGAAAACCCAAAGGAGACCTGAGTTAGGGCTGTTATGAGAGAATCGGAAATCAAAATGGCTAGAAACGAACAAACAAACAGAAAACAAATACTCCCCTCCCCGACCAGTCTAGTTTCATGGTTCAAAATGAGTGCAAAATAACTCAATGCATACCCTAATATTAGGATGAAATGTAAATCTGATATTGTCTTTGTTTCAATAACCTGGAGATATAATCAGGAACAAAGCCATGCTTAAGGAAATGTTTTCTAATTGATGAGTTATGTTAACAGTGTCCTTTTAATGATTTCCAGAACAATGAGCAGTGCATGTTGATACACAGGATATTGTTTTTATCAGATGACACAAAATAAATGGGGAAAAATATAAGCTTGGCAAAAGAGCATACGAGGAACGGGGAAAAAAAAGAGCCTGTGGATCATCCATGGGAAGCTACACATGACAGCATCAGGCTCACAATAAATGGAGCAGGGAGGCACTCGCCACTCATTCAGCACTTGATCTGACAAAGGTGAAAATACCTTGGAGAACATGAGCCGCTGCACCTGGTCGGTGATAGATAAAGCGTGAAATGAGCAGAGAAATGGGACTATCCTAATTGTGAGTTCAAAGCCTTTTGGTTCTTCTTGTCATTGAAGTGCCCTGCACAGCTACCCTACCTTGTACGTGGCAGGAATGTGAGTAGGAAAGACGGACAGGACAAGGTCACGATTAAGAGCGAGAGGAGGATCCAAGATGTCATGGGAAGGGGAAAAAAATCCTTCCTGGGATGGCATGTGCAAGCTTCATAAATATCTGAGGTGGGAATCAGCATCCCAGGGGTATGAAAAGGCTGGGTTGTGTTTGTTGAAGTTCATGACAAAACTCCCCTTGGCCTCAGCGGGGGCACGGCTGGGCCCAGAGCAGGACGTCAGCAACCTAAGGCCCAGGATAAAAAACTAAGTTGCAGCGGTTTAGCTAGACTGGTTTTTAGCTGAGTTCACACAAACTCAGTGTTGCCAGCAGATCGACGGAAGTAATTATTCTGCTCTGTTCAGCACCGGGGAGGCCACATCTGGAGTATCGTGTCCAGCTGTGGGCCCCCCACTGCAGAAAGGATGTGG